TCTGTGGGAACTCACTCCGAAAGACAGAATACCACGATTTTCCTGGCAAGACGCTAACCTTGTCTGTAACCTTGACTACTGAGCGTCAGATGAAAGGAAAAGTTGGGCTCGCTGCTGAAGAAACAGCTCCTCTGGTTGAGCTGAAGTCAAAGCTGACGAAGGTAAAAGACAATTTCGGAGAAAAACGGCGCACCGAATTGCAATAAGCCGAGTCGCGTACTGCAATTTAATTCACTTCTTTGAGGAGCGTCGGCTGAATGATCTAAATGTGCTTCACGCCAGGACAGGAGCATTCTGGGTCACGGTGTCATTTTGTCCTCATCGAGCTGCTCGAGGCCGAGACAAGAGGGAGAATTTAAGGATAAGGACTCAGACGACACGGTGGACGCGATGGAGACTTCTGCTCTTTTCAGCTGACATGACGGGATTCACTTCTGCAATGACACGAGAGCTGCATCGCCTTGGATTTGTTATTTTGTCATTCTATCTGCAAAACAACACACAGACCTTAAAAGCTGCTCATTTAGCCGCCACTGAGGGTAGAATCTGTGGACAGCGTGTTATCACGTTCCCAGCAAAACAAAGACAACAACTACGATGAAGGAGGAATCAACGCTTCGTTTTTCATCCACCAAATCCAATGAAGCATTAACTGTCACAGATGTTTGGGTAGTACTGGTGATTGCACGGCGAAAATAAAAACACAAGTGTCTTAAAATTTGTGCACAACACTCTGTTTTTTAGCTCAAACCGCAGCTTCGATGTCCGTCTGCAGTTTTTACAACAAACAAATAAACCCGACAACACAAATCTGATCAGTGATTCGCTGACAGAATACAAGACAAAAGATTAAACGTACATGGGAGTAATGTGACAGTCGGATTTACTAGCCGTCGTTTCCCCTTCATGTATTTACACTTCTGTGCTGTGAGCTGCTTTTGGTGCGTCTTCGGGTCACTGCAACGCCTTCGGCTCCCGTTTTTATCTGAACTGAGCACGTTTAGGGTTTTTTTTTTTTAGGGCGACATAATAAAAACCTGCCTCGGATATTTATGTAGGATGCAATTGTCGGTGAATCAAATATTAGCATGTGCACATTTCATTTTGTGTAGATTATGTAGAATATTTTCTATGCTAACTAGACAGAGATGTGAAATTTTTTATTAAAAATTGCCTTCAGTGCACCGACATACTTAATCTCACAGATCAGTCACTGAAACTGTCCTTCCTGAATCTTATTTCATCTTTACGCCAACACCTATAGATAACCGTACCTATAGCAGCACACTAAAGCAACTGCTTGCATCATTTTTTTTAAAAATACAGTCTTATTTTAGGTCTGAACGTGGGCTAACAATGCAGAGCATGCAGAAGTGAAACTGCGCTCAGTTTTAACTAGAATTACAGGACAGACATTTGTTCGGACTTGCCTGGAGGAGGACTGCATCTTTTTTTTTTTACAGAGGAAAACATGTTTACTGTTGTCTTCTCCGTTTTGAAGTCAGCCTGATAAAAATAGCCAATGATAATGTAATGTGTTGCATAAAATCTGACAGGAGATTATCTCGTAGGTTTATTGCGTTTTCGGGCTAATACTAAGGAACTAGCAGCTGCGTCTTGACTGCTGCTTTCTCACGCGAATGCATTATCAGTTTCCATGCAGCTTGCTCTTTTGTGCTAAATGAGCTCACTGATATTACTTCTGCTTCTCACACATAAAGACACACACACAGACAGGCAGATATAAATAAAAACACACACATGAACATGGATTATTATTTTCTGGCCAGCCAAGCCAAGTGCAGCGTGCAGGCATGCATGATCGCACGCCGACACACACACACACACATAGAGCCCATAGATGTGTGAAACCGTTATTTACATCCACAAAAAGAGGAAAATGCAGCAACACAATGCATAAGAGAGCAGCAGCCCCAGCACATTACCGGTTGGTGTGTTTAAATAACCTCTATCAGGGCGTGAATGCATGCGCTTTTCTTGTGTATGTTAAAATGTGAGCATGCTAGTGCACTGCTCTCCTTCCTTTTAAGGCCATTTTCAGGGCCTTCGCTCTCCACCCTGCCAAGATTGCACGCACACACACACACAGACACACACACACACACACACACACACACACACACAAGAGAGGGAGAGCACTCAGAGCATCAATGCAGCTGGCTAACTAAAGCAGCATTGCAAACAGCCAAGCAAATCCTGCCAATGCCTTCCCATTCTGAACAAACATGCATACACACACACACATAGCACACACACACACACACACACACACAGCACGCGCACACACACACACACACACACATAGCACACACACAACTCTGGCTCTGTCATCAACCGAATTACCTCACGCGCATGGTTAGCGCTGCAGCTGGCTGAGGAGTTGAGGGCTGCTAAATATAAAGCACTACAAACACACATACACCCTACGAACGACACACACATGCATGCTACATCTCTTTCACAGATCTCTGTTTGTGCCTGAAAACGCATTTGCACACACCCTGATGAGACTGAGCTCCGCTTGCAGTGACCTTATAGATGGCGGCGGCTGGGACAGCAGTCAACCTGGCTGCTCTGATTACTAGTTTGGGGATCCTGGGGACTGGGTGTGCAAGCACATGCAGCCTCGCAGCTGGCCCCATCTGGAAATATTGCAGGGTTTAATGCCATGAAGCCTCATGTGGGGAACCGAGCATGCATTGGAGGAAAAAAAAAAAAAACATACATCCTGCTGCACTGTGATGAGCTGTCAGCAAGCAAACTCAGGGGAAGGCAACCTGATATGTCTTGTTCCAAACTTAAAACTGCAAGGTAGTCACACTAACACACTTTGACATGTGACAGTTAAGCCTTTTGTGATCATTAAGTGGTGGTATTAATTGCGAGGTAATGAGTAGAAAAGCTGCGACTGGATGAAGCAAAACCCCAAACAAACAGGAAATAGTGTAGGAGGCATATCTCCTCAGTAAAGAGTAAAAGAAGACATGACTGATGCAGATCCTTTAATGTAATTGAGCACAAAAGTGCCACAGTGGGAAGATGCTGAGCTACATTAAAGTAGAAAAATGACTGTGTTATGAAGAAATGTGCGACAGTAATCAGTGAGGCACAGACTAATCTGAATCTGTCTGTACGATTTTTAATGGTAACTCCATTTCCTCAACTAGGTGAAAGGGCAAGCTATCTCTCTGCTATCATAAAAGATTATCAGTGTTAAACTAATGATGGAGTTGTAGGAGTGCTGCTGCTGCTGCTGCTGCTGCTCTGCACGCAAGACAAGAGCAGACACGATGCTCCCGATTGGCTTTCATTTGACCAAGCTGTGACTAGACTGGTAATATCACCCTTTATAGTGTTTGCAGCTTGATTAACACGAAAGCCTTTTCATCATCAGAGCGCACACTCTGTGGCTGCACATGAAAAATAAATCAATCACCGGAGGCAAAGGTGCGATGAAAACCGCCCATAAAACGAGCCGTTTTCTGAGGCCACGCTAAATGTCATCACGGTTTTTTTGTCTTGTTTTGTCATGTGGCAAAGAGGGCTTCTTAGATGCTGTAAAACACCATTTATGAAAACAAAACAAACACAGGCAGAGACAAGAGATGATTTAAAAAAAAAAAAAAAAGGATAGGGGGGGAAAACCCCTGCGAATAAAACAGCTGGAAACAGGAAATGACTTTGTGCCTTGGTGTGTGCGTGCTTGTGTTTGTGTGTGTTAATTTAGAGTATGTGACACTGCTTGGCAACTTGTATTACCAACCCCTTTAAAGGCTTCTGTGGCTTTTCATCTTAGATATACAGAGTTATCTCCTACAGATATGACACACAAGATGAGGAACCTGCCAGCTGTTAAATGTTTCAGTGCTGCGCAGAGTTCTGAGAAAAAGCAAAAAAAGTTTGCAAGAAGTGCAGACACACGATCTTATGAAACCCAGTCCCACGAAAGCACCGAGAACAGCAACCGAAAATTCACTGAATACGAGTGCAGTGTTGCTGAACATCTGCTGGTTACCGCTAAAAAAAAAGGTGTAAAATAAACTAGATTTCTAGTTTTGGATTTGCTATAAATCAGACTTTAAATCAAACGTGACTTCACTGCCCTACAGTGGGACTCGTCTTGCACTTAACCCTGTTGAACTTTTTTTTTTTTGCACATCCGAACTCACCAACATCTTCACAATAACATTTTTAGAAATATGTATTTGCTCTCTACTTAAGCTTTACTTCTCCCCAGGGTTCAGGATGTGCTTAAAGATGAACTAAACATCAGATTCGTGGCCAGCAGCCCATAAAAAATACTCCTTCCGGCATCCTTAAGCAACTCACTTTTTTGATCCATACATGCACATAAATATAAAAAAGCAATCTGTGGTTCTCTAGGAGGGGTTACATCCTGATTTCCTGGCAAACAAACTCCAACGCGGATGAGATATAGTGCGCAAGATTGGTATGCACAGATTGCATGGTATCAATCTTCTCACCTCATTTTCAGAAAGCAAGTAAATCATCTCTGGAAATGTTTGACTGCTCCTTTAATTTGCGAAGTTAAGGCATATATTTCGCAGTCAGCAGCCCAACAGTCTAAACACTGTTACTGTGGCCTGTTGTTTTAGACACACCCTCCACTCACTCCTTTTTTTTTTTTCCATCTTTTGTATTCAACACAGACTGCAAGAAACCAGCGATGACGTACTGTTTGTACAGAAAAACACACTTGAGCTCTTGGTTTTTTTGCATGTAGACGAAGCGGTTTACGTTAATGATGCTGCTGTGAACATGCGACTCACGTGACAATATTTAAAAGTTTTGTCTCTTGATGCATGCAACATGTATAATGCAACTTCCTCCTTGTCACCAATGTTCTGAAGTTATAGCATTTCATTCAGAGTGGTAAGCGTAAGATTTTGTGTTGCAAACAAGTGTAGTAAATCGTGCATGTAACAAACATAAAATGTGATTAGAAGAAGTGTTTCTACCTTTGGAGGATCATAGAGCTCCAACTGGTACCTCTCCCCTCCTCCTCTTCTTCCTCCTCCTCCTCCTCCTCCACCGTGAGCGTCTCTGATCCTCCTGACCAGCAGGCGACAGCGTTGCCAGCGAGGCTGAGTGTCTGAGATAGTGTCATCCACCAGCAAGTACCTCAGTTGGCCCTCTTTACAGCAGCCGCTCACCTCTGACCTCCTCTGCCTCATGCTCCTGCTGCGTAACCAACGGAAACGATCCAGGAAGTGAGAGACTACTCCAGTCATGGGCCGTTGCGAAGCAGCTAGCGGCGTGGCCTCAGAGTTCAGACAAGAGGACGAGTGAGAGGAAGAGGACGAGGACGACACTTCCTCGTTGTTGGAGGAAATCCCGCCCACTCTGTCCCCATTATTTGGGGGGCTGTTGTTGTTGCTGCTGGTCGTGAGGCTGGGGTTGATAGGAGACAGGTCCTGGGATGAGCGAGGGCTGGGAAGGGGCTGTTTCTTTAAAAGCCGTCTTACGGTTTGCTGGATTTGTCTGACGGAGAAATGCGTGACGTCAGCGTGTCCGAGGTTGGAGGCCGAGGAGTCGGAGGAGTACCGTTCAGACACCTGACGACGATCCGAGCCAGAGACCTCCTCGTTGCTACGGCTACGAATCAGCAGGGACCCGCTGCCGAAACTGCGAGATCCTGAGAAGGAGTTTCCCGAAGAGCATCTCAACGGCTGCTCCTGCTCCCGGCTCACCACCACCGGCTCCACTTTTGGCGACACGGTCAAAGGAGCGGCTCCTCCACTTGGCCGACCAGCCTCCCGATAGTCCTGCACGCCGGACAGAGACGTGATCCGCAATCGACCGATCACGGTCTGTGATGGAAGTGGGGTCGCTGGAGATGTGGAGGAAGCGCTACCAGAAGCGATGGGGCATGTGCTCTGGCTGAGGGGAGTGCCATCTTTGTCGACCTCGCAGCAGAAGTGCTGTTGGAAGAGATCAGTGAACTGCTTGGAAAAGATCTCTGGCGGGAGCACGTCATGTTGTGGCCGCTCTCTGGCGAAGCTCCGATAATGTCCGGCCAGCTGCCGGGCTGCGGCGATGGCGTGCAGCTCACAGAACTCCCTCCAGCCTCGTGGGGGCGCTGCCACACCTGGGCCTCCTCCTGCTGTTGCGGTGTTGGCTGGATGGATAGTGTTACCATTCATTGCAGTAACCAAACTGGCTGAGAATCACTGCTGTGAGACAAAAGAGAGAAAGAACAGAGAGAGAGGAAAAGAGAATTATTGGAGAGGAGGTGGGGGTCAGTTCGGAGACAAGAGTAGAGGGACAGTTGAGAAAAAGAAAAACATGGAGGGACAAAAGAGAGATATGGAAATGTAATTAGATGAAGATAATGTGGAGTATTGTTCAAGAACTGGAGCGCTAAAGACGGAACTGGCAAAACAATCCGATCTTTTTTTTTTTTTAACTACTTAAAAGCTCGACGCAGTTCAAACACTGAGACAGGACAGTCAAAAGTCTGATTTTATCTGAGCGCAATCTTTAACAGCACAAATTGGATTACATGGTCATGCAAAAAAAAAAAAAATCTCTGGCAATCAACCATTCCTAGAACATCTCAACAGATAAGGACGGCCACAGTTCACTCAGAGGACAACCTGTTCGCAGTCAAGTTTGTGGCAAAAACTGTTGACTGAATCCCGGAAAACGCCGCAAGGTTATGCATTTAATGAAACCGGAGGAAATCCTATCCTGCAGTGGAGGCGAATCGAGCGACGATAGCGTCAGTGAAGGTGACTGGATGACGAAGACCGCGGAGCGTTCGAAATGAATGAAAACAGCAATAAGTCAATCAGGCAGACTGTGAATGAGGGACCCGACTGAGGAAGTATGGTTTGAATATTTCTCAATCGGCCACGCTGCAGGCACACGGCCATCTGTGTGTTTGTGTGTTTACATGTGACCCATTTCGATGTTACTTCTGCTTTTCTTTTCCCAAGGTGTCAGTCACGGCTCAAGGCAAGAAACTTCATATTAAAAAAAGTGAGACCATCTACACGCCTAGTCTGAGGGATAATTTCTATTTTGTGAAGCTGTAACAGGAGCTAAACTTCTGGACCTCCTGGACTCAAAACATGGACATCGTGTCTATCAGGATTTCTCTCCCTCGTTTTTTCTAGGTGTTTTTTTTGGTGAGATTTTTCCTTGTTTGAATTACGGTTGTGGTGTTTGGGTAGCCCTGGGCAGCTTGGCCTACTACAGCATGTCCCTGCTACTTGTTATTCTCTGCTCTCTGCGCTTCGTTCCACTTCCCTGCTTCTGTTGATGCACAGTGATGCAGCGTATGCTTATTAGTTTCATGTCTGAAGGCCTTCTTTCTTTGTATAAAAAAAAATAAATAAAAAATCTCTGGGTTTGCTTATAATAATATGGACATAATTATGAAAGTTCTGTTCTGTTTCACTCCGCCGCACATGCTCTGACCTGTCCACCGCGGTGAACAAACTGCTGCGGTTATAATTAGACGGAGATAAGTCGGCGGTTTAAGAAGTTAGCTCGACAGAAAAAAAGAGGAAGGATGCATTCCTAAGCATTCAATAAGAGCCCTACCCTCGTCTCTCTTTTCAAACACCCATTTGCTTATTCTCTAAAGTGTTTACACTCCGCTGACCCCGAGTGTGCTCAACCCCATGGTTACGGAAGATTAGCGTAAGTAAGACGACGCGTTCAAAGAACCGCAAGATGTTCTTAGCCGGCGCGAGCGTGGAGCTTCTGGGTTTGTGCAAATAGCAAATGACTGATACAATGAGTGTGTTTACATGGATGCGAGTGTCCCGGCTGTGACCGTGTTTTATCCCCACTTTGGACAAAACTAAATACGCTGGCTGGAGCTCTCCGAAGACACGATGGAGAAACTGTCTGTCAGTGATGAACTAGAACGCCTGACTCGCGGTTGTGCGGCTCTGCCAAACAGTAAAGTCGATTTACGCTGCGAAGACTTTAGAGTGTGTGAATTAATCGAGAAAAGCAACGATATGTGTGAGTGTTTACAAGCTTAGCCAGTACAGGTGACTCTGATGATGCTATGGATGCCTCACACACATTGTGAAGAAGGCAGTACACAAGATGCTTCTTAAGGAGGACACCCGGGATTATTCGGTATCCAACCAAATGTGAAAAATGGTCACAAATGGCCAAAAATATGCATTCGGAGAAATTTCTGATGTTGCACCGAAGCCGACCTTCGACCTTTTCTGATATAAAATGTCATCACACCATCATTTCATCCTGTTTGGGTATGAATTAGTGAAGTCACAGTGACCTCTGACAACCAAAATCACTCCATCCTTGCGTCCAAGTGAACATTTGTGCCAGATTTGGAAAAATAAAATTCCCTGAAGGAGCCTCAGAGATATTGCACACAGACGAGTGAGACGGATGGACAGACAACCAAAAAAAAAAAACATGCTGCCAAAACTTTCATCACCACAGAGGCATGAGAAGTTAAAGACACTGGCTCATTTAGACGGGAGAGTGTTGAAATGTTGACCTGTTCAAGCCCGTAGGACAGAAGATGCTTCACATCCAATGAATTGCAGTTTAATTATGTAAAAGTTAAGGTTTGTGGAAAAGTCTGAACAACAATGCAGCTCTGCAAATACCAGCTATTAACCAAGACACTAGGATTCATCATGTAGACACAGAAGCAGATTTCCTTATGTTCGCAATTTAAATGCCTCATTCCGAATGTGATCGCAAACACACTGATGACACACATTAGGAGTGTGTCATCAGTCGCAGAGTTGCTCTTCAAAACACTGTAATGAAGCAAAACAACGAACTTCTAATGTGTTTAAATTTAGTTTGACTGACTTTTAGGGGTTCATCCACTTATAATCCATACAATGATGGGATTCTGCAGTTTACTCCTCCAAGAAAAGCAAAGAAGAAACACTTGCTAGAAGGAAAACAGTGATGTCTAGAGAAGCAGCTAAAAAACAAGACATCAGCATGCATTATATAACAGCTACAGCTCCACACATGCTGCCCGTAATGAGCTGCTGAACAACAGGTGAACACACCCACAGCAAGACACGAAACTGCAGCAGCGCACTAACACGGGTTTATCACTCTCAAACTCCACAAATGTGCCTAGAGTACGTACCATCTTGCTCCCGTGCAGCAGAGAAGGGTCTATTCTAAATACAGGAAGCATTGAATGTATGTGTGCATATGGGTGTGTGTGGGTTGGTGCTGGGGGGGGGGCGTCACAGACTGTGGTCCAACAGATCACAGAAAACCACAAGAAACAAGAGGTGGAGGGGGGGGGTCGCTGTGGTCGGGCCAAACATGGAGCAACGTGTCTCGTTATCTCTCGGCTAACATCTCTCCTCCGCCGTGTCCAGAGCGGCGACGTTCGGAGGTGAGAGTTTGTGGATTCCTGACATCACCTCTCGGCGAGCCGTCTAACCGTCGGACATACCGGCGGACACATGCGTCAGCGAGGCAGAGAAAACTTGGCATCGTGAAAATATTGCGTCACTAAAGTTCCTGGATGTGTCCTGTCACAACAACTAATTCCCTTCCTGTAGTTTTCAGAGCATGCTCAGTGCGTGCCCCCCTCCAGCTGGCCCCCCCAGAAGCCTGTTTCTATCTGCCTGGCCAGCCCAGCGATGACTCAGCACTGCCTGACTACAGAACATGCACACACACACATACACACACATACACACATACATGCAGACACACACTTCCTCTCGCTGCGTCCCTCTGGGGGCTTGGCCGTCTCTGTTCCCAGGGTTTTCCCTTTCTTTCATCCTCTCCGTCCTCCGCTATGAGTATCTCCAGATGTGTTTGCATTCATGCTTCCTTTACTTTTTTTTTTTTGTACCTCGACTGAGAGCCACGTTCAAGTTGCGAGGGAAAACAAAAAAGGCCAATACAGTGCAGTGCCTCCTTTCTCTGTTCTCGTCCAGGACCTCTAACCTCATCTCGGTGCTCTGTTATTGTATTATTGTTTTGCTAGACAGCCTTCAGCAGGAGACGACGGTAAAAAAAAAAAAAGGGCCAATTCAAACAGTTGAGAGTGAAAGACATTCCTGCACAACAGAGTCAAAGGTCCCGCATTCCTGCCTTTCTTTCTTCCTCACCTTACTCATCCCTCCCTCCTCCTCCTCTTCCTCTACAATGCCTACATTCTTCTCTGTGACACACTCGCGCTGGTACACTGATTGCTTTCTTCATCGCTCTCATGTGCTCTACAGAAATCTGGCACGATTTTTTATTTTTTTTTTCTCCCTGCACCGTCGACACCACAAGCAGCCTGAGAAACTGCTGCACTGAGCAACTGTGGCCAAGTGGCGAATGTCGACATCAGCCGCAGTTCTTTTGGCGAGAACTTGTCTAAATTCTTCTTCTTGTAGCCGAAAATAGTCTAATGCTACCGACTGCGCGACTGTGGAAACTAATGATGCTGCAGCTCAACCGCTGTTGTTTAAAAGTGTAAACAGAGAGTGACATCGACCGCAGTCGTTTGCCTTTTAATGGACACACGTTAAACTTGTGCGAGAAAAAAAATAGTCTTCCAGGAAAGCAGCTGGTGACTGACTGACGTTTACAGAGAAACAGTGGAACCGTTTTACTTTCTGTACCTCTGATATGAAAGCTACGAAATGGAAAAACATTTAATCACATTATCAGAACGATTTGCTAATAAAAGGAAAATAATATCTGTTTACTCTGACTGTAAAATAAAATCAAGCTAAAGATGCCACTTTAGACTCACAATTTTGCATTAATAACATCAGAAGCTTAATCAGTAACGAAGCTAATTGCTCTCATTCACCACCACTGTGGGTGTTAAGGAGCAACTCAGCAGTTACTTTAAAATGAAGTTTACACTGTGATGAGTTTAAAAGTCAGCCCTCAGAATAAAAGCCATGAAATGGGTCGCACATGTCTTACCTTCCCTCATGACTTTGTTGCTCCAGAAGTGGAACTAAACTCATTTTTTTCACTGGGAACAGCCTAAAACGGACTTTGATCAAACAGGAAGGAAACAGGATGCGTGAAACACACACATGAATTGATCGAGTTAGCAGGACTAACCTCATGATTAGTGTCAGCTCACTGGGTTGATTTGCGACACGACACAATCTCGAATCAACCTCAAGACACGTCGGACGTGTGATGCTGCGGTGTGACTCGTTCCCACTAAATGCCCGGACGCCAAACT